ATAAGCCATTTTAGGAATAACTTGGCTCCTAAAAGACCACATATCCATCACATCCTAATGAAAACTGTTCTCGAAGGGCCTGAAAAGTAGCTGCTATTTCTTCTTTGTTCTGGGCACAATCTTCGAAGACTGACCAGATACTGAAGTCTTGTAAGTAGAAGAGGGTTTATTGGAACTGTGATAATTTGAAATTGTAACACAATTAACACGCTGTATTTGACAATACTTTATAAAACTGGATTTATTATTCTCTATCATTTTCCTAGCAAAACTGAAATATACTTTCTAGAGTACAGGCCTTGATGTAGTCAAACAGGAGAAAATGAGAACATGTAGAGAAAATACAATGATGCCATTGTAATTATCTTTTATAAATAGCCTTTCCTTGTTTTATGTGCAGTGTATACTACAACAACAACAACAACAATAAAAACAAACAAAGACATGATTAACCAATCAACTTGTTTGTGGACAAAGAAGGAAAAATAGTTAAGAGCTAAAATGTCTTTAAATAATTAATTACAAGAGTCTTTACACTTAGTATTCAAAGATTACAGACCTCCACACCACAAATACATTAGATGGATTCACAGAGTAACTATCAAATGTCCTGAAAAAAATGACTTCTGACAAGATGGCATAAATCACCAACAAATCATGAGTGTTTCAACAGTGGAGGTCATAGCACATAAAAGCAGTTCTCACGGGAGTCTAAAGGGTCCCTTTGGGGCAGTCCCTAGATGGAAGATGGTCTCCAAAACCACCTCCTGTTCACACCGTCGATCTAGTCAAGGGGAAGAAGTGGCATTCCTCTTCAGCATCCCAGGGTGAAGGTCTGAGCTGACTATACAATTATCTCCTTGAAAATCTGCCTTTAGCAGGGGTCTCACTGCTCCCTCTTCTCCCACATGAAGCAGAATCACAGGAGTTATCTTGGTGAGGGAATAACATAATTTTTTTCCTCATGGCAATTGCTCACAATTGTATAATATATTTTCAATAAAGACTTCCCAGAAAATATGCCAGCTTTATGGAATAGAGACACTTAGTAATCTGAACAAACCCTTCCACCTCCTTTTGTTGTGGTTATCAGCATCTTTAGACTTGTAATGAAAATCCTGTCATGATGCAGGGTACTTACAAAGGATTCTCTGCCTTAAAATAAGCAGAATCACTCAACTATAATCCTGAACTTGATTCAGAAAAAGAAGCAGAAAGTGTGGATTGCTATTTTATTCTCAGAATGTTTTTTTTTTTTGTGCTGGGTGACACATAAGGTTACAACAGTGACCAATCACCAGAATCTAAATAAGGAAGAAACAGCTTCTTTTCAAGTTTTTAGAGAGCAGAACTTTTACCAACATGTGATGAGCCTACTGGTCTGTTGGGAGCCTGAGTTGCTTCTGAGATAGCTTCTCCTGCTCTTTCTAGAAGAAAATACTATAATATTATTAAAGATTCTTATTACTATAGCTGCTGTGATGATGAAGCTTTGGTAGATAACTTGGGTGGATGATGTAATACACAAACCACAAAGAATCATGGTTTGTCTTTCAAATGTACTTCATAGTTCTAATTTATGACAGGCACATAGTACACATCTCATATAAGGAAAGGATGTAAATAAATGATCATGATGTGCCATTAGTATCTGTCTTAAAATAGTGGTGGGGAAGTGAGTTGCTACAAAATATAGGTACTTTTCATGCTTAAAAATACTACAATGGCTTGCTCTTCCCTTGTCTACCTGCCTGAATGCCATGGCACCAGACATGATTCTGCTCTTTAGCTGATATTTTAATTGTGGTGATGCCAAGTCAGAGTAGAGAAAAAACAATGTTCAGGAAAGAGATGGAAAGAGGAAAAGAATTTATATTGTTTACACATGTGGAGGAGCAATGTCTACAACTGCTCTATGTGATTGCATAGTTTATTGCTTGTGTTATTACTTTCTTTTCTCCAATGTGCTTATCCTACTAGCTTTGACTGAAAATATTTTGTATGTGTCCATACTGTAAGCCATCACAGTTTTCTAGAGATTTAGTGTGGTGGAGAAACCTTTTATTTCTTCTCAAAGGGTTAGGCACATCAATATTCTAGCTACTCACTTTCAAGGCCAATGGAAACTGTGCGCCTAAGATTAAATAGACCAGAGTAACACATAAATTCAGTTTTTACGGAGGCAATGTGTTTCTTAGTTTCTCACATCCTGAATATCTGATGAGTGTAAAACACCTGTTGGATAAACACACTGTTACTGAACAGTCTCTAGCTGTCCAAAGACAACAAGAAAAGAGAAACTCATAAGCAGGTTCTCCACCAAAAGCCCAATCCCAAGAGCTCATTCTACATCTATGGATTTCTTTAGTGAAGGATCAATAATCTATGGAAAACTGATTTGTAGACATTTCCCTAAAACATTCTTAAGAGCAATATGCATAGGCCTTCTCTGAAGTGCAGTGCAGTGCATCATTTCTTCCCCTCAGATATTTGTGTGTGTGTGTGTGTAGTTGTTTTTATATATAAAGAAAACACGGCTCATACTATTATATAAGAGTCCCCACATTCAGATTTAAGAATTGCATATAACTATCAGATGCTTCACACTCACTCTAAAAGCTTTAAGAACTCTATCTGAACAGAGTATTAAGTTTAGCTTAAGTAGTTCTGCTTTATTTATCTAGTATGGGTTTAAAACAGAATGGAGTTTTAAGTGGTCAGAGGATAAAATTTTTCTTTAACTTCAGATAAACAATTGTATATACTATATGTATACGTTCAATAATGAAGACAATTAATCCTGCATAAGTCTTCCACGCAAATTATCACCCTAAAATCAAGGCAAGTAAAAAGAAAACCTCCACAAGAAAAGTATTTGCACCAGAAATCTATGAACTGTCTCTTTGATCAACCAAACTGCCCCTTGCTTAGCAGATGTGCCTGAGGATGTTATGAAACAATCTGTTGAGATTTTTACAATCAATTATTACATATTAGAAAACACGAGGCCAAGGCACTAAAAAGAAAAACAGTATTCCATATAATGATGAGAACTATTTATCTGAAACTTTTAAAACATCAACATGTACAAGAGTCCCGATGATCCTGAAATATTAGTTAATTAATTAACTGCCATGATATCTGAGGTTTGCTTCAAAATAACAAGGCAATACAGTGGGACACCAATAGGGCACAAGTTAAACCTGGAATATGTTAGATGATGAATGCATGGGAGTTCATTATTGTAATCTGCCTACATTCACGTATTTGAAATATTTCATGAAATAATCTTAAAAAAATACATACTTCATTTGAATTTTCAATCATTTGTCCATTATTTACTGGCTGATTCATTCACTATTCTTATGCAAGAGATTATGGAGATGGAAAAAGACAAAATATAATGTTTTTGCTGGATGTTTTGGTTATATGAATAATATTTATTTATTTAAAATGTCTATAAAGACTGTAACTTGAAAATGAAAAATTCTTAAGTTAAATTTTGAAAGAAGGGAACGAAAATTATAGAGGAATTCTGAGTACTTCATATTCAAAAAATATGTCCTTAGGGGAAAATGAGAGAAAATATATCAAATAATTATTAATGGTTAGATTTAAATTATAGAAATAATTACTTAAATTTTTCTTCATTTTACTCATTATTTCTAATGACCATGTATCTTTTTAAATGAAAATAAATATTTATTCATTAATGGAAAGATGTGTTCTCTTTTCACTAGGAGATTTCATTTACTAAAACAGAGAAGCAAACTCACAGCACTGCCCTCCTCTACTTTACATCTTCCTGCCTGTCAGTGAAATACACCCAAAGGCAAAGAACATCAATACACATTTTATCTGATCATAGAAACAGAAAACACTTTCTCTGTGTTGGAGAGGAATAGAGGAGGAAGCAGCTGTTTTGCAAATCGGCAAGAGTGTGAAATTCTGGCTCTTCTATAGTGACATCATTCTGTGATGAACACAAAGAGAGCAACAAACTCAGTTACCAAGTAAGTCTGTCCCAGGCTCACACTGATAGGAGGGTTATTCTGGGGAGCAAAACAAGTAAGGCAGGGAGTAGGGAGGGTGAGGGAGTTATAGTTCTGACGACTGTGGCATTCAGGGGCAAGCTGGATACATTCAGGGACAGAGATAGATGGGTGACAGAATTAGAAACAACCGAGTGACAACTATGGATTATGTGCAAGGGACATGGAAAGTCCCTGCTAGAAAGCTATCTTTATCACCACAAGAGATGATTTTCTATTTCGTGCACATTCATATAAAGTGAACCCAAGAGTGTAACTTTTAAAGGTTTGAATGACTATGCTGTTCATGATTGAATAGGCTACAGAGTCAGGCACAAGAGTGAGACACCAGACAAGGTCCTCCTTCCCTTGTCCTCCCCACTGAGTTTATGCCAGTGCATCTCTCCAGAAAACCCAGCACTTCGGGCTCTGTGAATCAATGATGACCCTCCATTGCACCCCTGGTCCTGCCACGGTCTCCTTTAGATACCTACTACCAAGACTGTTCAGAAGACACACTGCCACCCTTTCAGAAATTTTACAGTCTCACCAGAAGACAGAGCCCAACTTTAAACCTAGGATTACATGGAGCTATGATCATGGAGCCATTCATTTTCAGAGATGGGCGCGTTTACAAAATTACGTATTTTCCATAGGAGAAACCAGTGGCTATCTCATAGCTCTTTCTGTTTCTTCAGAAGTTCTTTGGAAAAAATATTTTCTGCAGAAAGACTACTTTCACCTGTCTGGCACAGCCATTCAAAATGTTTACCAACACTGTGATAATGTGTTCGTATTCTTCTGTATTTTACCAATATCAAAATACTTTCTGTTTAAATTTAATTTTTGTGGTGGTAAACTCACTACAGCCCTCAGATTTACTTTTTGCTTGTAGGGAGTTGCTAAATTTGGTATGAATACATTTTATTTCTTTGAACTTCAACTAAGAGACAATGAAAGTTTACTTACCAGATAATTATGTTGTGTGAAATATTCAATTGTTGATGGCAAAACAGTCTGAAATGGAAAAGGAGACTGTAAATGTTGGTATGCATCTTTTTTTTTTAAGACAGGGTTTGTCTGTTTTGTTTTGGAAGCTATCCTGGAACTTGCTTTGCAGACCAGGCTGGCCTCAAACTCACAGAGATCCGCCTTTCTCTGTCTCCCAAGTGCTGGAATTAAAGGCATGTGCCACCAATGCACGGCTCAGTATATATCTTAACTAACATAGGACAACATGGTGATCACAGAAAATAATACATTTACTACTCTTCTGGGACCCTGACTTAGTCATACTTTGTAGAAAGAAAAAGATACTTCCTTTGGAAATAAAAGCAAAATTATACCTCAACCATAAGTGACTTCGTGAGTGCCCAGCTGTTTAGTTTGATGATTACTGACCATAAGCAGCCAGTGAATGTGAACGGTCTACTAACCCTTTGTACAATATATTGTGTCGAGAAAGTTAAGTTTTTCAGTTAATTATTGTGGTCTGCTTAAAAAATATCAAACTATTGTGAGCCACAAGGATTGCAATTCTGTTTGATTTTACTGTACTTTTCATTAAACATTTTATAGGCAAGACATAGACAAAACAAATAATCCAATTAAAAACTGGGGTACATATCTAAACAGAGAATTCGTTTTTTCCCTCAATATATGTTTTTATTTAAATTAGAAACATGAATGTTTCACATGTTAATCCCATCTCCCTCTCCCATCCCTCCTCCCTTGTCCCTCCACCAGTTCCTCCAGCCCCCTACCCCATCCCCACATCATTCCCCAGGGAGGGTGAGGCCCTCCTTGGGGGGATCTCCAGAGTCTAAACAGAGAATTCTTAACATAGGAATCTCAAATGGCTGAGAAACACTTAAAGAAATGTTCAATATTCTCAGTCATCAGGGAAATACAAAAAAAGCTATTTTGATATTCCATCTTACATCTGTCAGCATGGCTAAGATAAAAAACACAAGTGTCAGCTCATGCTCGTGAGGATGTGGAGAAAAGGAAACACTCCTCCATTGCTGGTGGGAGTGCAAACTAGTACAGCTACTATGGAAATCAATATGGTGCTTCCTCAGAAAATTGGGAATCAATTTTCCTCAAGATCCAGCTATAACACTCTTGGGTATATTCCCAAAGGATACTCCATTCCACCACAAGGATACTTGCTCAATTATGTTTATAGCACCTTTATTTACAATAGCCAGAAAATGGAAACAACCTAGATGTCCCTCAACTGAAGAATGGATAAATAAAATGTGGAATATTTACATAGTGGAGTATTACTCAACTTAAAAAAATGACAACCTGAAATTGCAGGCAAATGGATAGAACTAGAAAAGATCATCCCCAGTGAGGTAACCCAGACCCAGAAAGACAAACATGGTATGTACTCACTTACAAGAGGACATTAGTTGTTAAGTAAAGGATAATCCTGCTACAATCAACAGACCTAGGGAGGTTAAGTAACAAGGAAGGCTCAAGGGGTGGGGTGCATGGATCTCCATGAGAAGGGGAAACAGAACAGGTTTTTCAGGTGGACTGGGAAAAGGAAGGATCACTAGAGAGGTGGGAGGGATGGAGAGATAGTACTGGGAGAGATGATGGGAATTGGGCGGCATTTAAGGAAAGATGTAGAAACAGTATAGTGGAAACTCCATGGAATCTAAGGGAGTGACCCTATTGAAGTCTCCTATAATGGGGGATATGGAGACTGTATTGGCCATCTGTAACCAGATCCATAGTCAAACATTAGGCAGAATTCAGGGAACCCCATGGAAGTGTGGGAGGAATACTTGTAGGAGTCAGAGAGGAGGAGGACACCAGGTGAACATGGCCCACAGAATCAACTAAGCAGGACTCAGAGGAGACTGAAGAAACAAACATGGACCCTGTATGGGTCTGAGCTAGGTCTTCTGCATATAGCTATGGTTGTGTAGCTTGGTGTTCTTGTGGGACTCCCAACAGTGGGAGTGGGGGTCTGTGTCCCTGACTCTTTTTCTTGTGCTTGGGACCTTTCCCTTCCTACTGGGTTGCTTAATCCAACCTTGATACGAAGGTTTGTGCCTAGTCTTATTGCAACTTGTTGAGCCACGTTCCTTGGGAGACCTGGGAGGCCTGTTCTGCTCTTTTTTTTTTTTTTTTTTTTTTAGTAAACAGGGAAGGTGGGAGGAGTGGAGGGAGTGGAAACTGGTTGGGATGTAATGTATGAGAGAAGAGAGAGAAGAAAAAAAAGAAAAATCATTATATAAATAAAAGCAAACTAGTCTTTCCTTGCTTTGGTGTTTTTTACTCATGATTTAGATGTATGTCTTGTGGCAGTGATGGGAGAAAGTTATGGGCCATACACTCATGCTCTCCTGAAGTGAATTACTGGTCATGCTCTTCTTCATGACTATAAATTAACGTATGATTTTCAATTCCAAGCCAGGTAAGATAAGCAGAAATGTGAACTGAAAGCTTTAAAACTTTTGTGTTAAGTCACAAAATAATAGAATGAAATCCAAATGAACATTTAAACATCTTCAACTGTAGAGCAAGCAAGTCTCTAATGCTATATAATCTACATTTTAGAAACTGCTTGTCTTAATATTCCCACATGGTTTATCTTATCAGTTGTCATAAGAATTCAGAAGCATCAGGTGGCTTTCCCAGAGGTCACCCTCCCTGAAATACTAGCACCATAATGACAGCCTATAGAAGACACAGCATAGCTAAAATACTACAAACATGATTCAAAAAGACCAAGGATTTGTCAAGCCACAAGCATTGAAACTGTACACAACAGAGACACTTCATACAAAAAGACCTACATATGTAAAGCAAATACAAAAGTAATTACCTGGAGAACATATTTCAAGAAAGCCTGTGGCAGTGTATTTCAAAGCCAAAATCTGAAGTACTTAACACATAAGCATATGAGATTTAATGATGATCACCAGGGTAGCTTGCCAAAAATTGTTTTTTTTTTAAATGAGCTTATGCAGCAATGACCACTAAAAGGAAGCCCTAGGAAAGATGTAAAATTGTCTTCGGGAATTTGATGCTTTTATAAAGAATGAGAGCAAGTAGTCAGCCAGCTGAGCTGGTAGATCACAGCACCAACAAGAGCATGAGCGGACAGTATGGACGCCCTCATTAAAGAGGATGATGTCTCCATTGCTGGAACTGAAGCTACATTTCCAGCTTCTCTCACCCCTTTCCTTGCCTGGGCAGTGCTAGGGAACACCAGTGAGTCTCTCTCGAGTGCACCAAAACAAATATTTATGAAGCTGCTACTTTGCATAAGGTACAACTAGGTAAGTGGTTCTGTCTGAAAAACTGTCCCTGACTGAGGATCTTGTTCAAAAATTACAAAGTATCGAGCATTGGGAAGAGAAATGGATATTAAAGGCTTGTGCAGGATTTAAAAGAGAAAAATTAAAACTCTCTTCTTCTGCTTTGCATGGCACAGGAAGAGAAAGTTTAAGTTTGTTGGCCCTGCCTCAGCGTGGATCCAGCCTTACAGATGAGGAAGTACATACAGTTTATATGTTCCCAGGACCGTGGTAATAGCTGACAGGGCGGGCAAGCTGACTTGCTTGCCATAAAGCAAACCTTTAAAGCCAATCCTGCCTTTCTAGGGTTCAGAGTGTGAAAACCTATCAAGATGGATATGGAAGCTTTCTGACACAAGGAGTCAGGAAAAGGTTAAGCCTTTCCCCTGCTTTCTTCCATAATCAGATGTCTACAACTGTTTTTGATAACCATGAAATGCTGACTCCCCTTAAGTATTCTAGTTTTCCAGTTTTTAAAAATTTATTTGAAAATTAGGGTATTCAGAATTCCTGTGTATATACAGAAAATCACACATATAGAATAATATATTTGTTAGGGATTATTAATTGTGTAAAAAGCTGTGTTATAAGAAATACAATACCAGGCACAACTGAAATACTTCTGCTTGGACAGCTAAGTTAATGGCGGAAGTTCTTGTAACATTACTGTCACTTCTGCCAACAGCAACAAATAGAGATGAGGTTGGGTATTTTTTATAATGTGGTATAAATATGCAAAATTGCATATTGGAGTTCAAGATCAGTTATAATAGACTTAGAGGAGTATGTAGAAAAATATGTGTGAATATAATTTTCTGGCTAAACACTAGACTGTTCTGACCAATTTTCGTGTCAATCTTTTTCCATAAACAATTCTCTGAATTACAGATTCTGTATAGAAGAAAAAGAGTTGGAAGGAAATGTATATATAATGTTGTTTAAAATATTTACTAGTTTAGTCATGACTCATTTAAAACAGCAAAACCTATGTAATCATAAATTCAGAAATACAAGAATGCCAATAATCTTGATCATTCAATAGTTACAATAAAGATACCTGTACTTGAGCAATGTAACCTGAAAAACCTGTAACATATGCTTGCTTTGATTTTTATCTTTGCATGCTCCGGTTTTCCATAAAAACGAATTGTAAATTGTAATAGCTAACCTATAAAAATTTTTGGCATAGACTGAATTAAAAAATAAAATATGATAATAAAGGAAAAGCATACCTCATGACATAGTATGACTAAAAAAAACCCCACAATATTAAAGAAAAAACATATGTCAGATCTTTAGTGAATCAACCGATTGCAACTTGATGGCTTTAACATAGAAAGAAAGCATGAACTGAAGTATGATACTGTTGAAAATATAAGAAGTCTAATTCTTCAATAGTTTGTGTTTGAATCGTAAAGACCATGTCTTCTCTTTCCTGCCCACCTTTCACCAACCCTTCATTTGGTTAAGACAGACCTACCAGAGCATACCACATGGTTTAAAGATCTCTACAGTGTCCAGTGTTGTCCTCTCTATCACTTTATATCCTCTTTATAAGCACTGGATGGTCAGGCATGAAAAAGGAAGAATAAAACAAACCCTCAATTCTCTCCAAGCTCCTTCTTATCACACAGAAATGCCGGGTTCCCAGAGAACACATTAGGGTAAAGGAAACAAAATATTTCAAGATAGAAGAAA